TGCTTTAATTTACTTCATAAACATTAAAGTAAGCTCATTTTCTTTCTTCTTGTTACTATAAATGGTTCCTTATTCTTTTAGAATTTCTTTTCATGATGTTAATTATTGATTGTCGTTATGCAATTTCATTAAGAAATCATTTTTAGATAACAATAGTTTTTTTTGGAAAGTCGTTTATGTTCGTTGGAACAATTGCTTGCCAGTGAAGGAGTCGAAAGAAAATGAATACTTATAACAGTGTTGATAATGCAAAGCTAAAAAGCTACTTGAAATATTGTTTACAATGCAAAGCTAATATATTTTGTCCTCTACTTTGCAATGTCACGACAAAGCTATTTTATTTTCACTTTTTGTTTAAAACACTGTCTTGTCCCATCTTTAGAACAACGATTACTCAAAATGTTTAGAAAATATTTTTCCCATTTTCCGATAGTAAATTTAGAAATCTGATGATACGTTGTGTGCATTCTCAATGACCGATAAATAATTATAGCTTCTGACATCATTCGCTGAATAGTTCACATGCATCACTTTAATATTCGCGACTGGGCGAACATCGAATTCCTCAATTCGTATTGTTAATTTGATTCACTGCATTCGCTATGCAGGAGAACCAAAGTTCTCTATTGTCCTGCGGGCAATGAGCTCATTATACTTTTTCTTCTGAAACAAATCAAACTCTATGTTCGTTTCTGATGTAATTGTTTCTCACCTTTTAAACGTACGCACTCTTTTATTCAATATCTTTTTATTTCTACATCATGCATCACACCTCTCTCATGCGGGTTACTATCCAAAAGTCTGTACACGAACCTGGGATTAAAGTGGGTCTATCTGGCCTAAAATGAAGCTACAACTTCTTATTCTTTTTTTATTAAACTATGCACATGAACCGAAACTTTATCATACCCTCAAATGTGTAGTAAACATTAATAATATTCAAAGATGGAAAAGTAATTTATAACTTAATCTTTATTAAAAATGATTTTTATCTTTGTGCATAAATGCGGAAATTATAGGACAGATTGAAACTTGGTGGTGTGCGGCCATAATTATATCGTGGAAAATAATATAAATGATTTAAAATATGATGAAAATAACAAATTGTAACAACGAAATGAACAATTTATTCTTTGGACTTATTTCCCACGAACATGTGATACTTGATCAGTTTGAACCTAATATTTATTTAAAACACTGTATTTTTGCACAAGCGTTAACAAATTGATGGAATCGCATAGGTGACTTAAATTGTGCCATTTCGTTCCGAGATGGTCGTGTGTAGGTATCTCGTTCATCTTAATCAAGGTGATGATCCACTGCAAACCATGTTAAGCATTGCAACAATATTCGATTTACTCGGTCAACATTTATGAACAGATTATAGGTGTGACAATGTAGTCTTGAGTATTTACGGTTTCCGTTAACACCGTAAGCTTTCCGGAAATAGCAGAACTTCACCCTAGAATGCAATAGGAGAAAAGATCTAATAACACTGTCCAACGAATTGTACTTTTTATAGATCTTAATGCGTCGATCACAATTCCATTCAATTTTTTTCTCTATCACTTTCAGTTTCCGAAAAATATAATTTATAGTAATACTTCTGAGGAACATAATTTTAACCCTTTGCACTCAAGTGGTGACTCTGAGGCACCACTGAAATTTGTTACATCACGTTCTAAAATAATTATTACATTAATAAAGTTTAGATTTTAAAGAATGGTTAAAGTGTAACCGTTGCGTAAGTCGCAAGACTCAATTTCGCATGCATAAAATGCACATTGTCATATAAAATGAGAGTACTATAAATCAGAAAAATTATTTTAGATTTACAGTTAAAATAGCTTCGAGTGCAAAGGGTTAATAAATATAAGTTTAAGAAACATAATTTTAAGGAATATAATTTGAAGAGATATATTATTGAAGAATATAATTTTAAGAAACATAATTTTAATAAATATAATTTTAAGAAATATAATATTCAAGAATATAATTTTGAGAAATATTATCCTGGAAAACAAGGAAACTTATCCTCTTTAAGAACATCTTGTGCTTCAATCGTAAAAACTAGATGATTCGTTCTTGCATGGAAAGATTCTATAGACTCTCACAAATATAGCGGTGTAACGCGAAGTTCGTGTTGCAAGTATCTCTGGAGGTAATGATGGTTTGATAATTGATTTCCGTCTCCTTACGTATGCTTTGCTTGAACGCAAAGGACGTTCATGTTACCAATGATATCAGTGTCCTAGCGATGACGGACACGTGCTCTCAGGAGTAGAGGAGCCAGTTAAACGGAGAACATTCCCATTGAAAATTTGTGCTCATTGTTCAGAACTTCCTGGCTATTACTATACAATAGTAAACGCAAATTTCATTTACACGTGCGATGCAGGTGTCTATAACCTCGATTTATGATTGTTTTAACTTTCATAAGTCGACTAGCGATGTACGTTTTATACTACCTGCATTAGGTTGCAGCAGGTATTAGGTTAACTCTTGTTTAATGAATATAGAGTCGTTATACTTATTTATTTTATTAGCTATTGATTAGGTGGGTGATTCACCATTAGAAATCTCATGCAATGAAAAATCTACTCCAGCCCAAGATCGATCAATTATTTGTGATTCTTCATTGTTCGAAGGTTAATGGCGAGAATTACGAATTTATATTGCTGAAGATTCTTATGCAAAATGAAAATTATCTACATCAATTGCTACGTAGGAGTTTCTTTCTTAAATAGTAGTAATAACTTCAAAATTGTATATCGACAATCTTAAAATCTCTCTAATTTATTGACGAGTTCTATTGCCTCTATTGCTTTTTAAACAATAGATCGCTTACCATAGAATCGTCTAAAGCTGATTTTTCTGCAACTGGCGTCTGCGAACGGTGTCTGAACATTTTCCCCATTCTGTTTAACGTGACAGTCTTCAATTTCCTAACATCCTGTCTGACAGTTTCAGTTCTTGATATTCTGTGTGCTAATATCGGTAATTCATCCTGTTCCTTCACCTCGATTGTTCCTTTGTCCATATCTGTTTAAAACACATACCCTTTTATAAAATCGTTGACAATATTGGAACAATCGAACGGTAATTTTAGAAACGATTTCGAATCGTTTCTACCTGTACAGTAAGGTACGAAATATGTATGAATCGTGTACTGTAATGATTAGACAGTAGATTTTTATGCAAAATAAGTGTTCTTCAATTATTGTAAAATGTAGGATAATTTTAGTAGATCAAGAGTAATGCAATGGTATAGCCTCCAACTAACTTTTACATTGTTACTTATATCTAAACGAAAATCATATCTGTTGCAGTAATAATGTAGAAGTTACTTTTATTATATATTATAGTTAATTATATATATATTAGAAATAACACGAAATAAAAATATATAAATATAGTTTTTCTCTGTTTTTTTTTTAGTATCGGCAAAAATATAAAACAAACTGAAAGTAACTTCTACATTATTACTGCAACAAATACGATTTTCGTTTAGATATAAGTATTATTTTGATATAAGTATTACTTTGAGTCTATAATTATTCACATCACTGTATACCCACACTGTTTAATTCTTGTAATTTATCTGTTGTGTGAAATTTCTTCTGCTAATATTTAAACAATACGATCAATAAATAGAGCATGCGAGTTTTTCAATTCGGATTTACCAGAGATCGATTCCCCTGAATAATTCTTTGAGTATTTAGTTGCTATAACTTAATTATGTAACGTGACACTTTTTTCGATCTCTTTTACACATAATAACATGTGTTGATGAAATAGAACATTAGGTTGAAAAATCTATGTCCAACTCTTTTTTAATAATATTCTGCATGTTCCATATTTTGCAAAGAATTATATAATCATTGCAATTTACAGTTACATTAAATTGTGTTTTGGTCAATCGTAAAGTTAATAAGCACGAAACGTTGTGCAATAGACCAGATTTCACTTCGCAAATACGTGGAATTTGAAATTTAATCAACAAATCCACGTATAATTAACCAATTTAACGAAGCTTATAGGAACCACTCATTGCAAACGTAACATTATTATTTGTATGTGCAGTGTGCAGATTTGATTGTCAATTCAACAATGTGATTTACACGTATAAAATCTGCTAAAAAGTTGCAAAAAACAAATGAAAATATTAAAAACCTAGCAGCCTGTTACTGTCGTGTCATATCGTATAAACTTTTACGATTTTTTACGCAAACTTTCCACGAGTTTTTACACGGAATCGTAAAAACTAGTTTATATGATTCTGAGGCGATGTTTCTTTCTGTAACGACGTTGATAAAGAGTTCCCGTAGCATCTGCTTGGCAATTTTCTGCGGAGCAATTGACAGATTACCGAACTTCCGTGTAAAGATCATAAAAAGTTTTGAAGCTGCGTTATTCATATACTAATAATTATGAAATGGTAAATACATTGTGTGTTGTTTTTCAAATTCTTTAAAGAAAAAAGAGTCAACCGTAGCCCACAAAACTGAAATCTCTTTCATAACAATACTTACATGAATATTTAATTCGATTTGCAATGAAAAATCATTTTATTTGAATTATTCGATTTCAATGCACCCAGAATCAATGTACCTATTGATTCTAAACCCCAATTGCATATGTTAATCGTGTCAGAATATTCTTTCTTTTATGATTATTTACTTTCATTTGTTTTAGGTTTATCAGAATACGTGTATCATAGTATGTGACGTTCTCTTTCTTAAATTAATTTTTACTTTGATAAATTCAAATTGGGTGAAATAAATAATTATAAGATTGTATTTTGTTAATTTATTCTAATCGTTTGTTTATTCTAGTTTATTTTCGTATCTAATTTTTCGTGACTATAGTAATTCTAACTGTTCGAATTATATCATAAAGGAATGCATTCATCTAACTGTAACATTAGATTTCACTGAAATCTAACGTGCATTACTCAAGTGACAGATTGTCCAAATACTCTCTTCATTGAAATTCAATTACTTGGACATTGTATGCTAGCACTACAAAGCTGCAAGTGTAGCGATTTACACAGAGTTCTACCTTTAGTTCTACATTGAAATCCATTCCTTTGACACCCTCAAATATATTGAAAACATGAAGTTATTAACAAAAAAAA